CTCATATTCCATGCAGCATCGCAGCTACTTCATACCAACTCAACCGCCTCATATTTTACTTCGCAGAGCGATGCCGGCATCAGGACCGGTCGTCCTGATTTGTGGGCGGGGCGGGGCGGTGGGCGTCCGGGTCGGTATGCTAAAGTTTGATAAGGCGCTATAAGGGTATCTTTCCTGGGAAAGGCGCCACGCAGCGCTTGCTCAGGAGCGCCGAATTCAGTCCTGCTAGCCCTAATAGTCCTACACGTCTTGGGGATTAATAGTGCCAAGTGCCTTTAACCTTTCGTTTAACGGCCTTATAACAACGCAAGCTGTTATGGCATATTTGGTTGGGTCAACAAGCCGGGAGTACTGGCTTGAGCAATGCCGTAAACCGTTTATCCTGAACTGTACCGTAGTTTCATCGTAGCAAGTGACCAAGTTTACCAGACTACTTTCTGGAAATTTTCAGTAATGGGAACGAACATTCTGGAATTCGTTTGATATCTATTTCCAGGTGGAACAACGGCTGCGTGGTCTGTTGGTACTGGAAGGCAAAGCCACTGACACCGTTGGTCAGTACCGTCCTTCATTAATAGGCAATCTGTCTGAGGTTGCTATGCACTCAACCTTGTTCTACCATCCCAAGCCAACTATGGTCAAGCAGTACTAATAGTAGTAGTCTTCTGGGATTGCTTTGTTCATAATATGCAGTTTTTGACGATCACTGTTTTCATGAAGTCCCATGAAGTTGTAGAAATGTTATGATTTACGTAGTTTTTGATTTAGACCTTTTTTAGGGATAGTTGAGTCGTTGTTTTTTTTCGCATGTAATTTTATCGATATGTTTATATTGTTGGAAAATCCGCATTTGTTTGTGTTCCCCTCGAAAGAAATATCCGCTATTGTTTCCAAAGCATTAGAGATTTCAATGAATTGCCGAAAGATTCAGAGGGAATCACTAGTGTACGTGATCTTAGGACCTAAGAGATTCGAATTCGAAAAATTGAATATTTCAAGATGTCGGGTCAGCTAGGGACATAGGTAATTTGGATCTCCCAACCTATACCCATTTCCCAAAAGTATTCTCAATCTTGGTCCGATTTTCCACTCGAATTTGAAGCCATACCTTTTCATTCTGATTACTTGTGACTGTAACGCGCCAGATAGTCATAACGTTTATTGTGATTATAAAGACAGTTCCTGCTCAGAGGGTAGCGGCTGTCTCATCCTCTCAGAGGGTAGCGGCT